ATATTTATATATATATATAAATATATATGTGTATATATATATAAATAAAAATAAAAATGTCACATTCCCAACACCAAGTCAGTTTCTTGTTTTTGGAAAGTGGTTAATGCGGGAGCAAAAGATGCAGTGGTTAAAATGACCCAACATCCCCAGAAGAAAATGATATGAAGAACAAGGACATTTTGGTATAAAGTTAGTAGTCAAATTCTCCAAGGACGTCTTTTGTTTTTGGTTTTGTTTTTGGTTATTTTTTTAATTAACAGCCAAATGTATTTTTTTAAACCACCTCCTTGATCTAACACTTAAATTGCCAACATTGTCCAAATTAGTGTAATTTTTTTCCTGTAACGTCACTTGGTTCTTGGCTACTAACCTTTCATGTTACTCTTGGATTTGTCAGTTTGCTTGCCTGTGGGGGTTTGGGCCTGCTGCCCCTGCCCACTGGAAGAGGCTGCCTGCTGTGCTGCTTTCTGCTTTAACATTGTCCAGTCAAATGTGTAGTCATATTGGTGGTTCAAGGTCCTAGAAGAGAGGGAAATATTTTACTGTAATACATTGTATCTTTCCTATTGCCCAAACCCATCCTTTGCTGAAAAACCAGAACTAGAGGTTAACTCTTTCTGTAAGTTGCTCTGGAGACCACAAATGGCACATAAATGCTAAGCAGTACTAACTTAAAGGGATTCTTGCAGCAAGCCCAGATACTATCAAGCAGGGTTTTCTTCACCGTTCACACAAGTCTGCATTTGTAGAAGCAGAATTTCCTCACAACTCAACTTACCCATTTGTCTGCACTACAGTTCCTCAGCGTTTTTTTGGTTATTTTTTTTTAAATATGATTTTAAGAAGAGACTGCAGTATTGTAGATCATTGAATAAAAATTGCTTCAGATTCCAGAAACCTTGAGGGAGACTCTTGAGAGAGCAGCACCAGTTGTTCTTTTGACAGATGCTGTTCGCTCCACAAGGCTGAGTTTATATTTTTGGTTTGTCTAGCAAGCTTAATGAAACAGCATCATTGCAATCCATCTCCTGGGCACGACTGCTAGTCCCATCACCAATCCCCAAACATAAAACTTTAAACACTTCTACTGAGAGGTCAACTTCTTAAGCTACTTGCAACAGAACCTGAAGGACAGGCTCAATCCTCTAGCATTAGTGAGATCATGCAACAAGATAATATTTTCCTCCATGTTTAACATTGAACAGTATTTTTTAGGTCCTTGAAACAGCTTTTCAAACTCTGAAATTGAAGTCCCACAAAAACTCCCTACACCACACACATAGGGAACACCTTTCCGCAGTACAAGTCCCACAGAGCAGTTACCAACTGGTAAGGCACTCACAAAATTTCTGTATTTTTCCACTTTGAGACTGACCTGAAAAGAATACGGAATAATTGCCTCAGATACATGTAATCTGGTGCCTCTTCAAAGCGCAGGCCACGACAGTAGTTCAGATACATGGCAAATTCTGCAGGGAATCCCTGTAAATCAACAGTGTTAATCAAGCCCTGGCTTGCAGCAAAAAAGCCTCTAACATCTCGATAAGGCAAAAAGCTGTATTTCTGTCTATAATGGCACAGAAAAACCAGCTGAAGATTTGTAAGTGTAAATTCCACTTTGCCTCTAGTTATTCATTTATTCTGTATTTCAGAAAGTGGATTTGTTGAACAAGTTACCAGGTACACATTCTTTCCCCAGAATTGTTACCTGATGCATATTCTGTAATCACAAGTTCTCTGCTACCAAAACTTTCAACATATAACATATTTTAAGCACTTCATTCATCCTAATTAAAACTAGTCCTTATTAACTAGGTCTCTGAAATAAGAACTGTCTCTTAGAAAATTCTACTCATGTTTCCGTGATAACCTACTTGAGCATACTAGAGGCAAAGTAAGTTACCACTATTAAAGTATGAAGACTTAAACCATGAAAATGTCAAATATTCCTTGCTTTACATCTTTGTCCATTTAATGCTACATTAAAGCTCACTTATAAGTAAGTAATACAGCACAGTGCTGTGTTACAAGAAAGAAAACACAGGGTGTAACAGTTCAGCGCTTTGGAAGATGCTGTCAGACTCTAAGCATATATAAATGTGCACGACTAGAAAGCGCAATCCCTGGTGCTGCTGTTTGATGTGCAAAAGCTATCATGTGTTCTCAAGGACCTTCATTAAGAAGCATGTGGCTGCCACAGTTCAAAAGAAATCTTAAGACCCAAAGGATAGCGCTGGAAAATCATCATTCTGCAATCTGGCTTGGGGTAAAAAAAAAAAATAAAAAAAAAAATCACTCGACACCTAATTCCTGTGAGGTAGAGAAGACAATACGAACACTACTGAAGAGGAAGAAGCAAGCATATGGGCAAGCTGCACAGCTCTGCCTTGGTTTTATTGATCCAAGAGGGCACATGTAAAAGTTTCACTGTAGAAGGTGAAGAAACGAACATGTCTCACTTAAGAGACATGACAGCCAACAGTCACCAAGAACCGGAATGATTCTGGCATGAATTATGCCAAGAAACAGCAGCAAATGCCCGCCCTGTTACACACATTCACAGTCTTGCTGGGTGGCCAAACAAGGCACTGGTGACTGCCAGGGAAGTATTATTCAGCAGCAAATACCATGTGATACTACCTAATATATTGGCTCTAGTTTAAATAAAACACAACCAACAAACCAACAAGAAAAAAACCCTTGGATTTCACAGAATGACATCATTTGGAAACTCTTACCTTACACAAAACCTCAACAGGAGTGGACATTTTCTTTTCACTAATCTTTTCATACTTTTGCTTCTTTGTTGCAGCCTGTGGAACATGTAGGTCACAATATAAGAGATATTGTGCAACATGAGATTAACAAGGACAGTAGCAAAAATGACAAAAATCCTCTGGCCAACCGTAAGTGTTTTACGTGAAATCTCCAAGTCCCACACACTTATTGCAAAGAGAATGAAGGTCAATCTGGTATTAAGATTTGGACACAGTTTAATACAATTTGTCGCAGTCTAATGCTTCCATCACATGGCACAGCTCGTGTAGTTCTAGCTGCTGCTTTTGTCCATTAAACAGACCAGACTTGCATTTACATGTGCCAAAGTTCTATTAATTCCTACTCAGTACCCCATTCAAGGGCTGCCTGCATGTTCCAGTAAGCAGCCATTACATTCATCTGCAGCTGAAGAGTTCTAGTGTTTCACAAGCTGCTTGCCTTTTCTAAAAACTTGCAGCTGCAACACCATTTGAGTTACACAACTCGCATATGGAGGAAGAAAATTAAGACATGAAATAAAAAAACATAAATCACTGAATATATGTCTACATATGTCTACATAACTATCTGCCATGCTTGTACTTGCCTACCACACATGAAAACACTTGAAGCAGGCCTGACATAGCTAATAATTATTCAGTTGTGCCATAAACCAGGCTGAAGATAGCACCAAAGCTCAACTTGCTAGGCAAGGGGTTATTTCAATGGTCTCTACAGCAATTCAGAAAGGCACTAACAATATTATTTTTTACTTCCCAAAAAAGTCCTCAACCTGAAATAGGACAATAATTTACAAAAGATTATGTAAGCTATTGTTTAGCATAAATGTTAAGATGGTCAAACAATACACATTTTTCCTGCTGCATGAAAAGCAGAAAGAACCTTTCTTCTACATTCTATAAATATCATGCCTTGGGAAGAGCCGCTTTGCTTAACTAAAACTAAGTCTCATACACAACCCCCTATCCAGACCAGCAGGCCCAAGTACAATATCCAAACATAAAATAATAAAAAAATAAGGAAGTGGGGGGGAAAAGCAACATAACGTACCTTTAATCCTTGCCAAGGCAGACTGGTTCTGTTAAAGTACATCAATACATAGCCTAGAGACTCCATGTCATCCCGACGACTGGAGAAAGAGGAGAACACAGTGAATCACAAATTTAACTGTTTACTTCATTCCAAACAGTGCAAGCATTCAAAAAATAAATTGAAATTAGGAATAAAACCTATGCTTTGGTGCAAAAGAAGGTCTCTTTCCAATACAGCTAAGAATTGTAGGTGTTGAGGATTTCACTGGCATGTAACAAGCCTTCACAAGCAGGAAGCAGATTCTGCTCATTTTTCAAGCAAAGAACAGGCAGTAGGTATTGTGTGTGGTAAGTTTCCATCTGCAGTTACATTAGAATAATTTGGGAAACATGAATACTTTGGAAAATAAGAAATGAAACATTTAATTAATTAGCTTGGATAGAAACTAAAGTTCTACTTGTAGGAACCAGGAATGCATTTTAAGACAGATACATGACAATAGTGTTAACTTCTTTAAGGACTTTTTTTCTTGAACCTTGCCTCAGTCTGGCACCAACACTGAACGTCTGGCTCCAAAAGGGCATAACTCCTTCCTTTCTTCACTTCCGTCAAAAACTGAACGAGCTCTGTGATTTTTAGAAGACAAGCACCATTCACAGAGGTGCACACATCAATCTGAGAGATGCCTCTGCTTTCTTCCCACAAGAAGTCTGTTTCAAGGCCGCTGGAGAACTCTGAAGTTGTCCATCCACAGACTTCCCTGAGAATTTGCACGCAAACTCTCTAAAAGTCTTCAAATGTTCCCTGGGCTGCACATGCTCCAGATTCACACTTCAGCCACATGAACACCACCATGCTTTGCTACACAGCTTTCATGAGACTAAGGCTAGTATAGATCACTGAAGTGAAAAAAAAAACCACTCCATGACTTTTTTCCTTTGGCAAAGCTGCCTCTTCCCAGCTGTGGTAGAATCAGATTTTTTTCCTCTGACTGCCCCTCTGCAGTTGACATCTATTTAAGAGGAGGCAGAAAAATAACTTATTTTTTCTCCTCATCAAAAGAACCTGACAGGTATTGCTGGCTCCTGTGCCACCCAGGTAGATCTCAAAAAAACCCCCACAAACCCACAAACCACATTTAAATGGTATCAGGAGAGACTATACACGTAATACTCCAACAAGGGAGCAAAAGACCAAGAGTGGTGCTGCAAATGGAATTACACATACGGGTGAGGGTAAAAGAGTTCCCTTTAAGTGAAAACAGCTTGGAAGAACCTAGAACTTCCAGATCCTGGTATGAAAGGAAGGAAGTTTTAGGTGTTGCTTTATGTTACAACTAACCCAATATAAGCACTAACAATCAGCAGGATGCCCTACCTGCCACTCCTTGAACTCATGTTCCAGCTCTCTGACCCTTTGAGCAACCAGTTGAGAGAACCACCCCAGAAAAAAAAAAATCAGCTTGGCTTCCTAAATCATTTCACCACAAAGCCAAAGAAGTATCAGCTGTGCCCGGGGGTCAGGGAAGAGAAGAGTGGTTCACTCCTCTCAACAGCAACTAGCTCTGAGGTCATCTCAGCTGTAACATGAAACCACAGCCAAAGACAGAGGAATGAAAAATAATACTAAGGACACAAACTCCGGCCTGCAAAACCCACTAACTCTATTAGAATTGCAGATTTTAATCATCAACAGGATTCAGTGAACCAGTATGGGGCCATGACAAAAAAATTACATTTTCTGAGAAGGCAGTGGTAAATTCATAAGCAAAAGAGATTAATAGTTTCCATCCCCCATCCAGTTTATTGCTTTAATGTTTAAGTTCATGATTTTGTAGTAAGAAACAATTTAGTTCTGTAAATCTGTAACAGATACTATGTTTGATCATGCACTGGTAACAGTGACTTTCAGTATTTGGAGAACAGGACAACATTTTCCATTACTAAATAAGAAATGGATAACACTGCAACCAGCTCCTAGAGAAAAGCTGTCATTATATACAGGAAAACATGCTCTGTACAGTACTAACAGTTGAAATATTCTGCCATAAAGTTCAGGATTGGTTTCTCTTTATTACAGGATTATTTGTTTACCTCACTGTTGGCTTGATCTAGACAGTTTAACAGCCTTTAACAGGCACCAAGCTGTATTTCTAATCATATTAGAATTCCCAGTATCAGCAGAGATGATAAAAGATCTCCCAACCACACTCAAAAGCAACAGTCCTCTGCAGTCCCCTCCCTTGACTGTAAGGTGCTAGCACAGCTACTCCCTTACAAGAACAGCTTGAGTGACACTTGTCATTTACCCCATTTGACCCACATCAAGTAGGCTTAAATAATGACAGTGGCAGAAAATAAAATGCACTTAAGGAACCTTAAGGAAATTAAAGCAGAGAGGAAACATGAAGCAAATACTTCTAAGTTACATTTGTAAGTTACACGTTCTGCTGAAGTAGACCGCTAGAAATTCTGTCATTCCCATCCTTGACTAAATTGAAGGTTGGAGGCACATTCATGCAAGTTTTAATTATGACTAAGTGACCTCAGCATCACGTGTAAAGCCACGCTATTACCCTCACCCATTACAGTATCTGTGCATACAGGCATGGAAGAGAGGCATCTCTTTATATCTCATGAGATGACCTAACATAGCGCCGTAGACTAGTTGGAAGCGTATCTCTGCTGGACCACTGCTAGGATACTGCAGTGGCAATATGCTTTTGGTCCAGATGATAAAAATGTGTTGATTAAGCAAAGTCCAGACATATAAATACACATACATACAGAGCCACAGCTATGGCTGTGTATACCACAAGCCAAAATTCAGTGTGAAGGAGAAGATCTTTTTACCTCTTGCCTGCAAGCAAGAATCAATAACAATTTACTACCTTGAAGGAAGAGGACACAGGAAATGGGGCACAGACATCAGCTTTTAGCTTTCTGGCTAAAGAATTGCATCTCAAGCCAGTCAGCAGTGGCATCAACATGTACCAACACAATCAGAAAAGTGCACTATTTTATTTGAAGGTCCTCTGACAGTCACATGAAAGCACAGCTTAAACTTAAAAAAATAAAAAGAAAACAGTATGCAGAGCATCCACCTCATGCCTGCAAGGCTTTTGACTCTCTTAAAGAAGCAAATTAGGTGCTTGGATGCTTTTTCCCCTACCCTTGCACAGGCAGCCATAGAGAAAAGCACTTGCAAAGGGATACATACAATTATTCACACAAAATTAGTTCAGACACTTCAGAAGCTTACAAATATGATCATCTTCCATCCAGCCTACACAAGCACAGCAGCAACCTCCTTGAACTCACCTCTGCTCAATGCCAAGATGTGCATTGATACTGGCATATCGAGCTGTGCCAGTGAGATTTTTGTCTTCTCTGTAAGGTATGTGTTGTCTTGTCCTGTTGTCCCGGTACTTTTTGGCCAAACCAAAGTCAATAAGGAATAACTTAAAGAAAAATGAAAATAGATTATATTCCTATACAGTGTAAGGAATCCCCAACCTTTCACTAGGCATTAGCTATGCTTTAAGACATCCACACAAAGTAACAGCCTACAGTTAAAAGGAAGCAAAGTAACAGTGCAGAGTCACAACTAGCTTTAACTAGCCAGTTCAAAAACTTAACAGTGAATTAGTTCAAGCTTTTTCTCAATCCAGTGGAGTAGATTAGATTGTGCTACTCACCATCTGTAGCTTAGTTCTACAACTATTTTATGTTACTCTTGTACTTCGTATCACATTAGCTTGGTAACTACAGTGCACAACTCAGGAAGGAAAAATCCGTGCGGAAGCACACTTCACAAAACCCCACTCACACTACAGCTGTTTACACACACAGATAGTTAGTGGCAGCTCAGCAGCTTAAAGCAAATGACGCTCATCCTCTATTCTTCTCTATGCCTCAAAGAACACTGGCCATTCTGCAGAGCATAAGGCCAAAACCTTCAACAGTAAACAAGACATCTTGCTTTCAATCATATGCTCATTTCAAGTCTACCGGAACACTATCATAGCATGACACACTTGCTGACGGTATTAATGCAGCCAGGAAGCTGGAACCTAGTACAGGGAATCCAATTTAGGTTTCTAATAACCGATCCTGCCCAATGATTTGATACTTAGCAACAACTGAGTGCGTGCTAATCAGTGCGCTAACAGCCAGCCTATCTACAAAGGTTAATAGAGACTGTATCTCCTTGCAACAAGATTTCAGAACTATGCAAAAAAAAGCTGAGGCAAAAGTATGTAAGGAACAGTTCAAATTCTAGTGATCAGTCTTCCAGCTACAAATCATCGGGCAATTGCAACGTTGGATTAATGCTGTAGTATCAGGGACTACAACTCCTACGGATTCGTGAATACTGCAAAAGTAGCTTTGGTGGAGGAAGGAGATGATGGAAAGAAAACATGAGGTTCAATAAATTATCAGTAAAAACCTATCCAGTATCACCTTAAAGGTGATTCCAAAACAGAAGATGCAGCTTTAGATGCAAACAAGTACTGGAGATTGACACGCATGTATGTCCCCATCCACGACTGAAACGAAAGGTCCCTCTGGCACACTGCAAGTCCTGTGAATTACAAAGTGACACTCAACATGGAAGTATCAAAGATACTGAAAGATAAAGACTCTGAACTGCACAGTAGGTGCTTTATAATTCTCGTTGAAGAAGATTTTCTAACTATAGTAGTCTAGACAGGAAAAACCAAAGCTAACACCTCTTAAACTACTAATGCCTGAGGAGGAAACCTGGAGTTGAAGTCTTGCTGTGATTTATGTGTAACAAAGTACAGCAGTTCTACACTTGTTCTAGTGAAAGTTGCCCTGAAAGGCCAGAATGCTTTGAGCAAGAGGATGCAAAATCAAGTTTTTGAATCAACTCCACTAGTCAGTTGAAGAAAGCAGAGGTCTTGTCTTTGTTGCACTCGCCACAGCTACCACTAGGGGTAGTTACTCACTTAGTGAGCATGAACAGGTCTGCCAGCTACCAGGAAATTAGCGATTTTGATACTAAACTCCTAAAGCAGATAGTATAAAGCTTCTATGCTATTACTATACTGCAAAAGCAACTTTCCTAGAAGCAAAGCCTGAGCTCAAACGCAATCCCTTCTTTTCTGATTAAAGCTTTCTGATCTGATGACTGTCTCTGACGCACAGCTTGCAGCAGCTACTTTTGCAGGGCCTTGGCCCAGTAGTTTAAGCAAAATACTGTCTTGAGAAAGAGGGAAAACCAAACATCACACACATCAGTCATTATTTTCTCTGCACAATTAGTTGCTAACACTTCAAACAATTCAAAGTCCTCACATGCTTTCTGTAAGCCTGTAGATCTTGCTGTTTATTAATGGTATGAAGGTACAAAGTCACAGTTCACAAATCAAAACGTTAACACTGGGGGTGTGTCTCTAATATATAAATAGCTGTTGTCTAGCCCTGTTTATCACAGACATGGTAATACTGTCTTCAAAAGAGTTGTAAAAGTAAACGATGCCTGCCTGTTTCACAGCTGCTACATGCTCTCAATATCAGACCTGTGCAAGGTAATTCTACCTTCTCTAAAGAGGTATATATAGTACCTCTTAAAAAAAAAAAAAAAAATATCAATTCAGCAACACAGACCTGTTTTTCCACTAGTCAGTTAAGTAGATGTTACTCTAAGGCACCGATTACTCTGTTTTCTAGCTTAGACTCGATTGTTTATTTCCCTTTCCAGGCAGGTGAAAGGCAAATAAGGAAGTCCATCTCGTAAAGAGTTAAGTTGGAAGATGCAGCCTGTTTTGGATGAGCACAGACTGTGCCAATGTCAGCCAGCAGGAACACAGATGTATTCCCACAGATAACCTCATACCACCTTAATTTTGTTTGTTGCACGATCAGCAGCAAACTGGAGAAGTAGGGCAAGATTTTTGCCAAGAGCAACTAGCAAAGTAGATCAAAGTCTCTGCCTCAACTGATAAGGAAGTTGCAGAAGCAGACAACAGAAGCCTGTCAGCTCACATACAGCAGCTATCTGCTGAGGATTTAATACATGAAGACCATCATTGTGGAAAGCTACGGACTGATTCTATGGCCAAACTCCTAAGCTATGATTCATATTCAGCAGTTTCCAGCTGTCCTGCTACGAACTGGCATATGTCTTCATTTCTCTCCAATTCATCTTCTCCTAGAGAGTCGTAAGCACTACATTTAACACTGTAAGATAAGCTCATGCTTCTCCAAGACACAGCTTGCTGAAGTAATTTCGTTCTATGAGCACAATGGATGAAAATATGGGAGTCCTTATTACATGTCTGGAAAGATTTTGAACAAAAACTGCAAGGGAGGGAGCCTGGCTGAAGCGATAACAGAACTTCTCCACGTGAATTCAAAGACACTGCAGGAACCCTACGGGAAGGCAGGCAGGCAGCCCTACGCAGAAGCCCTGCTCTTTCACTTCGGTGGCACATCTGTCTTTCACCGCATTTAACAGACTGCCTTTGAGTTTTAAAGGACAGAACCAAAACCCGCTTCTGCATCTGAAATCAAGCACATACATTTAGCCCTTTTTAATACCTTTAGAAATAATTCCACAATTTAAACAAGCGCCACAGGGAAACATCTTAGTAATGTTACATGTTTGCCAAGTATGTCTGAATAATGCCAACATAAGAGGTGCTTTTGCAAGGTCTACATTCTCCAGAAGAAAAAACAAAACAAAACAAAAAACCAAAACAAAAATAAAGCACATGAATTTGGGGTTGAGGTTGGAATAGGAGACAGTTCAGACCTGGTTTAATCCTGAGAAAGATGGGTCCTGAGAAGTACTAACAGTCATGCTTCTTTTCCTCTTCCCCACTGGAGATTCTAAACACTGAACAAACAATAGAGGGTGGCAGTGCATCAAACAGTATTGCTTACATTGCAACAATGGCCGGCGCAGACAGGCAACACCGAGGCGTTCGAGAAAGAACAGGGTAGCCAAATGCCATCCTTCTTCCATCAAGCACTGTACTTTTCAAAAAAACTACTTTTTTTTAATTATTTTAATTATTTTTTTTTTCCGAGGAGAAAATTTGAAAGATGTGACAAGGTAAATTTCAACTGCGAGCCACTCCAAAATGGCACTGCCTTGACCAGGGATAGCAATGGTGACATTTGGCTCTATTAAAAAAAGGAAATTGATGTTTTGCTTACAAAAGCATCCTTTGGTTCCACAAACTGCCCTTCCCCCAAAAGACATTTAGAAAAAGTAAATCTTCAGTAAGGAAGAGGTAGAAGGCATTTAGTCACCTTAAAGTTTACTTTCATAAGCATGCAGGGCTTATTTCTAGCAGAGCTAAAAATTTATCTTTTAAAGTGGGAGCAAAATTTCTCCCGATTGCCAAATTAAAATTTGAAAAAATCAACTGTTTTTTTTTTTAAAAAATATAACTGACAGGAAGCTACTGGAACAAGATTACCATGCTATTTTATTCTAGTCTTGGTGGCTGATTTTCTTTAAACTGTGTATAGTCACCTCCAAAACCCCTCAAGCTACACTCAGTTACAAAAAGAAATAAATACTGTACGGTGGCAAGTATTCCCTACATAAAGCACTTGTTTTCCAACTGACACAACCCATTCCTCATTTTGCACACGTAAATCTATCAATTTGATTTGGTCAAGAACTACCTTCCTAATCTCCAAAAACCTGTGACAGTAACGAAGCCCATGCCCACAGTGTTTACCACCATATCACTGTGTGGCTCCCTAACTAGTCTACTAATGGGAAAAATTTAAAAAAAGAATGGTTTACAGGCAATTTTGATTTTCATTTCAGCTGATGCAAATCTAACGTGTTCCTCAACTAAAGTAAGCACAGCAGCAATTTCTAGGCCATTAATCCACATCAAGATGAAACAGAGTGCAGCAATGCCAACCTAGCATGACTGTGCAAAAGTACAGAAAAATGGCCCAAAAAGAACAATTGGAAATCAGGAACTAAAACTAGGGGAGGGAAAAAAAAAATAAATAAAAAAAATTCAAGTTTTCAAGTTATACTCTACGTCATGCCAGAAAATTAAGGAGTCTAACTGCTCAACACATCAGAGAAAAACAGAGCTCTACAGAGTGAAAGTATGAAACTTGGGAACAAGCAAAGTTTAACAGCAACAGGATTACATAAAGACTGCCTTTCAGCTGGACTTACAAGCTTTTCCAACAATGGTTGTATCTAAACCTTTAGTGCACTGCACCTCTTCAGACAAGAGCTGTTATGTTAATCAAGCTTTCCCCTTCTAATGTTCATGGCCCTGAAGTTGGCATTCATACAGGCAAACAAAGGTAAACATTTTAAATACTAGTAGTGCCTAAAGAGATGAGACATTCTTGGCATAGAGAGAAGATAGGTGGGAATCTTGCTTCCAATAAACAGCTTAATCACATATATTTTCCTGAAGTTAATTTCTATTAAGTAGCATGCTTAATGCATTGCCAATGCTGCCTGTCTGCCCGAGCTCGACACACAAATTGCAGGATTAAGTATATTTCACTCAAGAGAACTAAAAAAAAAAAAAGTTTTCTTCTATATAAGGTTTTCATCAGGAAACATGCACTTCTGACTACATTTATCCACCCAAACAAGTACAACAACCTCAGCCCACCCCCCTGCCCTGTTTTTCTTTCCCCCCACAAAGTAAATTGAAAGCAGTTTTCAAACAACATATCCAGGTGCTCTAAAACTTAGTATTTTTTCTATTATTACATTAAAAGCATATTTGCATTATTTATTTATAAAGACAATTGATCTACATGTTGGCTATTAGTTATATCCACAATTCTGGTGTCTGAAGAGTTCTTTTCACCAGTCTGTCCCTGCAAGATTTAATGCCCTGACGACTGGTAGGTCAGGAACTCCCACGTTGGCACAGACTCTTTTCATCCCAGGAAGTCAGTCCCAAAGCCAAAGATAAGATTTGACTATCATTGAGGAAAAAAAAAAAAATGCTATTACAACAGTCATCTCAATAATGAAACTCCATTATTGAGTAAAGTAGCTAAGCATTCTCTAGGATTAGTTTATAGCTTTGTTGCAAGCCTAGAAATCATCTTGCAATCAAGTGCATCTCACAGGGTGGGTCACAGACCCACACGTGTATGCCACTACCTTCAGAAGTGGACACTGAGAAACCCAAGTTCTCAAAGAACCACAGTTTAGCATCCAAAACATCAGTTTTAGCAATGAGTTTTAAAAAGGCTGTGCAGCTTGAATCAAGTAACATAGTCATTATCTTTGGATCTTTTAAATAAAGAGCATTAGACTAACCTTATTACAGTGACGCCCAATACCCATTAGGAAGTTATCTGGTTTAATGTCTCTGTGTATAAAATTCTTTGTGTGCACATATTCAATTCTACTGATCATCTGTAAGAAAAACAGTAACAACAAAACAGGTAAGATTTCAATGAGAGCAATATAAATAACTTAAAGCTTCAAGAAAAGCATGAATTTTCAGTGCTAACCTCCTCTGCAACTTAAGTCCCTAGTGAACACCAAGTCTTTTTTTTTATGCTGTTCAAGTACATCTATCTTATATGTTAAGATTCCATCATCTTGGCCAGGAAATAGAATATTAAATAACCTGAAACTGTTTCCCAGACATTCAAGTTCATGTTCTAACTACAGTGTGCCATTAAAGAGTAATTTCTTCTTCTTACTTCAAAGGTCATCTAGACCTACCACAAGACACTTTTAAAGCTCACTCCCTCCCCCCGTCCCAGTTATTCATTCATCTGGTTATTCATTCATCATCAAGCATCACTTTTTCATGTAACAGTTTTCACAGAGCAAGTAACAACTTGATTGTGGCCCCTACTGTCATATCTAGGCTACTGTGATCCAGAAACAACAGTAAGCAAAGACAACACAAACTCTGGTACATCTGTATCATCACACCCTCACGCCATTTCCTGTGCATGAGATCACAGCACACGCGTTTAGGCGGCACAGCTCTCCAGCTGCTAAAACACTCTTCACACAGTCTTTACTGAGCTGAATTGTTGTAACATCGCACCCTTGACAGCTGTTCTACTGGACTATGCCCCAAAAGCCAGTCCCATGCACTGCTATCAAACCTCTCATCTATGTTTTCCAGGTGACGACTAATTAGTGCTCATCGTCCAAAGGAACAGAGCACAGCAGCCATACGGATTCCCTGGAGATGCTCGAACAGCCAGACTTCCTGAGCACGCACACGGCGCTCTAAAGCGAGTGCACCACTAAATGCAGCTGAGGATAGGGACATCTGACCTTGTCTCCTTACAAATGCCATGAGCTCCCCTGGCCAAGAGCCTGGGATTCTGCAAGCATCTGGCTAAGTGACAACTTGGTACTAACATAATTACGTAATATTAGATGAAATTTAAACTATCGTTGAAAATTTATCTCAAGAAACTCTTACTGCGTTTCAAGTATTTGAAGACAGCACAATCTAACTATTTATTAAACATCAAGTCATAAGTATGGCTGGCCACTTCAAATGTACTCTCATGACCAAGCTGACCAAAAAAAAAAAATTTGCTAGAAAAAGTCTTAGAAGAGCTCAATTTTAGAGGCCTTAAGTTTGAGGTAGAGCAGCATCTCCACTACCAACTTTAAGAAATGTCTTTAAGCACCCACAACAACCAAACCAGTATTTCTTAGCTCATGTCTGGTACATAGTTACAGGGAGCTGTGAGTGCAGAGCGACACTCAGTAAGAACAGAGCCACTGACCTCCATGTTGCCCACCTGTCACAGCAGCTGGCCAACACGTAACGGGCTTCCATCGAGTCACATCAACCATAACCAGTTACTTCAGACCTAACAACCCCTTTACCCTTAGGGCTGCTATCGGCAGTAAACCCACACGTATTAGTGTCAATACTCTAATAAAGTTGCATCTGTTGAATGTGCAGCACCAAGGGGTTGGTATCTGTGCTGCCCTTCCACTACAGGCCTATGGTCATTTTGTGTTCTAGAGCACAGAGAAGCCACCACAAGTTCACGGCTCCACAGGTCAAGTGTTCACTCAGCTCTATACAATGCTGCCTAACACGTATTTAACCCACTTGAAGAGAACCACACCACATTGAATATTTGAGGGTTTTTAACTTCCTCACAGTAGGATTTGTACATACCTGGTCTGCTAACATAAGTACTGTTTTCATCGTAAACCTGCGAGAACAGAAGTTGAATAGGTCTTCGAGACTGGGACCGAGAAGATCCATAACTAGAACATTATAGTCCTTTTCTTGACCATACCACCTGCAACAAAGAAAATAACTCAGTGTTAGCAGGAATCCTCATACAGCCCAGGATACCATCAGCCCTCTTGGCTGCACTGATGTTCAATCTTGAAAGCTAAATAAAAACCTAAGGCTAGTAGTGTCTTATTTTTCCTGGAATGAAGTCTGAGGACAAAACAGAATATACAAGTCGGCAAGTGTGTGTGCACATGTTCAGCTTTCCCTTAAGAGGACATACTTCTACACTTCAGCAGCAACCGAAACACCAAAATCTAAATGTAATTGAAGCAGAAGCCATTACACATCAACATAATGAGGTATGTGTACAAAGTCTGAATCCCATAGTAGCTTCCTGCATTACTTAACACCACAAAACCATCTGTTAGTACGTTAGGCATTGTCTTCAGCTTTGCCTTTTCTACAGCAGACCAAAGCAGCTCACACAGTTAGCTCATACACCTCCTCTTTATTAGCTCATACAAATTTAAAAAATGACAATTAAGTTCTACTCTCCCATTAAGTAGAAGATAAAGGGTCTTCAGTGTTTTTCCCTTTATGACATTGGAAATTTGGTAAAGTGTCACTAAACTAAAAATACAAATACCACAAAATACCAGTTGCAGCAGAGACAGTAGTAACAACCAGGGCATTCCGCCTTTGCTAGGCACCCAGCCCTTCTGGCAAGGGCTCAGTACCAGCAGGGAACGGATAAGGCACTGACCAGCTCTCCTCTGGAGAAGTCTTGAAGATTCCAACAACGGTGGTGTAGAAAAAACCCATCGAGAATATACCCCATAATAACAGCATGTAGATTTAAAAACAAAAGCCAAAAATTGAACATCAAGATTCACTTCAAACACAGTAGTAGCCAAGGCTTAGAGATCTGTATAGACCTTTCATTTCCACTTTAGGCAATCACTGCAGGAGACTAATGCACAGTTGTGTGGAAAATAGTTATCACTGATAAAGCCAACCAATTCCTTGGTACTCACAGGATTCCAAGCTTTGCCAGGGTAGTAAAGTAAAATGTTTACAAAATGACAGAGAAAAGATTCTATATTTGGATTTGTTTCAGGAACTACCAAACATTACTGATCGCACTGTAGAAACCATGCACTTCCTAACGATTGTTATAAATTTGCTAAGTTACATATGAGCTGTGGATTATCTTAACGTATTCCCTACATCAAGAGGTGATGCAGAAAATGCGTACTCTGAAAGCAGTCACTCAAATGAAGTGTCAACAAAATAGTATTCTTCCAACACGTTAACAGTCCTACCAATGCCGTAAGTACTATTTATCAGTTTTTGCCTTCTAAAAATATAAATTGACTGTACTATGATGTACAAATCCACCCAAACTGCCAAGTGATTCAATCAGAAGAGCTGATGGTATTATTTGGTAAAGTCTGTAATTTATGAAAAGGTTAATATTCACACTGCAACCTGACACCAAGCCATTAAACATACGCATTTTGAAAAGCTCTGCCTAGCTAGGCCCTTTTAAGGAGTGATCAGAAGCTAGTTTCATCTGCCAGAGCAATCAAGAAAAAAGAATTTTAAAAATGCAAAGCAGGGATGTAGGAAGAGTCAAAGTGAGATGCTGTTGAGAAAGGTCTTAACCAACTACAAAACCAGCTTCAGTTGCAGAATTACTGACTATGCCTGTAAGCCTACCTCTTAGTTCCTGTCAAAGTCACCTATGCACATGGCTGAGTAGTTCTGGTAATGCTCTATAAACAACAAACCTTAGGTCATACTTGAAACATTATGGTCATCCAGAGTAACGAAAATAAGATCAAATGACCTGCATAGCTATTCTGTCGTATGAAGTTTGAGTTTGTTGTGAAGAAGCATGAAGAATCATGACCTGACTCAAAGCATTCTAAGTAGTAAGTCAAAATATACATAAACCACAACTTTCTTCAAGAAATGTAAGTTCAATTCAGATGTTGCATGTGACTGTTCACTACAGTAATGGTTCAGTGCCCAAGAGACTGCAGTATAAGGGAAAAGGATCAAAGATCAGTCTTCAGCTGAGCTATGAAAATTCAGTTACAGCACCACAGAAAAACTGAAGCTGATGAAAAGGAAGTCTATCCTGGGAGCTACATTTAAGGAAGCATTTGGTTCCTCTATCGGGATCTCTCTGCTTAGCAAGTGCAGTAATTCAGGTTGATTGCACAACCTTCACTTGGCCTACTTCTACACATGCACAAGAAAATATTCATCCTGACCATTTTGCACTGGTGGAAAGCTGCAAGGCAAAGAAATAAGATGAGACCTCTTAACATCCCATTTTCATGTTCATCTGCTTAAAATTTCTCAGAGGAGACCATCGCATCAATCCATTTCACTACAGGCAACTGAAACGCTGCTACAGTATTTGAGTAACTTGTGCTTTATTTACTTTGCTAACACTCCAAGTAAGTTTTCATTTCCCTTGGAACATTTCCAGGGAAAATGGGATTAAGAAGTAAGACTACATCATGTCCATTCAAAGTCAAGTAGCTGCTACTACTGGCAGCTCTGAGTAAAAATGTTAGAAGACTTGGCTCTCCCTAGGAAACCTTGGATATTATGGCACGTAAGAGCTTGGCAAGTGCTCCATAATCAATAGAGGACGGCATGCAAGCACATGCTTTGCATGTGCACAAACACAGAGCGCTTTGGCACTCAAAGTTTAACACTACTGGGCTGAGGTGCAAAACAACATGGCAAAAAACTGAGCACAATTCTGAAAGAAAAAAAGCCAAAAACTAGCGTCTCAAAGAAATCTCCAGAAGTCTTAATACTGCATCACAAGTGAAACTTGGAGTGAACTACTATTATCTGCTGTCCTGAAGACCAGCAGTAGATGATCATCTTAAAGACAACACAAAACATTAACAGGACAGTATTATTATGCAAAGCTAAGTTTTATCCCTGAACTGGTGGCTAACACCTAACACCTGATACAGCTGTTAGGAACCCTAGTCCATATTCAAGCTGTGAGGCGTGCCCAAGCTCCTGAATGCATGAAAATGCTTTGTCACTCTGTCTTGCCTCATCTGTCTAAAGCTGCAGATCAAATTACTACAGATCAGTTAGAATACAGTAAACACCCTTTACAAATCTTTAGTCAAAGCACAGTTAAAGATCGATCACAATGACCTTAATTTGACTTCAGTGGCTTGTCTAAGTCAAAAGTGGAAGACTCACCACACCAACAAGTTTCCAATCCATGTGGTTTGGCAGCCTGGCCCATTGTCCCAGTGTATGCACACAGCTCAAATTTTTTAACAGCTTGAATTTCAGTGAACTAAGTCACATGACACAGTGGTCTGATGCCTGATCACATGACAAGTGACTGTCTACTTGAACTCATACGTGTGGTTGTTTTTTAATTAATTCCCTTGACTAACCTCGAGATGAACAAGCAAAGTACTGATGCACATGTAGCACCTAGTAGCAAATACTGCAGTCAGGTCTACCCACACTTAAAACCCTTCTAAAAATTCTGTTATGTCTACTTCAACAGCTGTGTATTTCCTAAACTATGGCAATGGAAAATAAAACCTGAGGAAATGTTAATAGCTTCTTTTGGTGGTGTTCGAGTTTTTTTGTGGTACATTTGTTTTTAACTGAGAAAACTTTTTATTTTATTATTGTAACAGTCTCTTCACATCTAGTGTATCTTCCTTTGAAAGGGTCAAATTGAGGTAGGTCAACTAGCAAAGAGAGGTCAAAGTGCTAAAAGAACTCGGACACAGGCCATGAGATTAGAGGCCAGTTTCAGACTACTGTACCACTTACAGAACTTTAGGAGATAACCAGCAATTTCATCCATTATATTGGCACTACTAATTACAACAAGGCAACAAAACTAGCACAATTATCAAAACCATACAAGTTGGTCACATAAGGAATGAAAGTATTCATAAGATTCATATGGAAAAAAAAAAAATTAGACCAAGATGCTCTACATTACTGAATAACTGCACAGCTGCTAATCACTGCTAAAGAAACCCCAAATCCCATGCACTTGGAAACCACGAAGGCAGCAAAGGCACTGCCATCATTAGTGCAACTGCACATCATTTTGCCTACAGCTTATTATATACAAAACCCGAACACCAGCTCCCTGTCACAAGAAAGCGTCCCTACTATCAGAGCAACTCTAACAAGACTGTTTTGTTTCAGCTTAATAAAAGCTCCCCTCAGTCAACACCGGCTTTGCCAGGTAACCCATCCTCCACTAAAGGCGTCTGTCAATTTGACCACTGACTGTTCGAGTGGAGGTTCTGGCAACCTGGAATTACAAACAGAACTGCAGAAAGTCATGTTTTGTGAGACCAAAAAAACCCAAACCAAAACAAAACCAACCAACCACCCAACTATCTCCTGGTGCCTCACTGCAAGGAAATACAATGCTTCTGTGACAAGACTTGAGTAATTAGAACTTCTTTGGACTTCCAGAAACCTTTATAGTCACATAATCGAAAAGGCCTTTTGGACTTCTTTGACATTATATATAAAAAACTTTTGCTATTTTCATAATTCATAGCACATGAACCTGTCTAGTCCTACACAATTAGTCTCCCAGCACCTCAGCTTTCAAACACCAAGCGGAAGAGTTCACATGATGAAAATGGAGACTGTCAGGAGAACTAAGCTGGATAAAAAAAGAAATTAAAACATGAAGTGCACAGTGAATAAGCAAGCTAGAAAGAACTTACTAGCAGAATTACCTGAAACCACCTTATTACTAAGTTTGACAAGTCAGCAGGCACAGGAGGGTGAATATGCAAGTCTGGAAGGTCTCATGAACACAAAGGATTCAGACATCCTACAGAAAACCAAATGACACTGACCTGATGAACACTCTGGAACCGTATTCCGTTTCTGCAAGCACTAAGTCATTTACACAAAAGTCTCTGAACTAGGCATTAGTCAGATAATGTGACTAAAGAGAAAACACAGACCTTCCTATAATCATATAGCTTTAATAGCAGGCATCATTGAAAAATAGTAAGTAAT